CACCTTCGAGCCCAGGGAGGGTTATGGCCCCGTGCCCGCCACCTCCACCCTCCTCTGGATCCTCCCCTGATGTCAAGGTGTTTCGGATTCTGCACGCTGCCATTCAACACGTTTGCTACCCGTCCTGAAACACTTAAGCCCTCGATAAATCTGTCACATGGGGCGTTGTTTTATGAGATCTGTGTTATAATTCAAACAAAATGCTTTTTCATAAAATGCCAGTTCCTTGCCCCGCTCTGCCCTATACCAGATTTGTAGTTTGTCGCAAGAAAACATTATTTCTACCGAATCAGGCGTAAGATTCACACTGGCAATAGGCTCAACACGGGAAAATACGTGTACGATGTTCACCAACAAGAAGCCAACAATTTTTGAACTGTCACTTGGAACAGCTATCTAAAATGGGATCGGACACATCATACCGCTCCAAAAATCGAGATTCAAGCCTGGCTTCGAAAAGCCGGCGTGCTGTAAAGATATGGTAGCATCATGCAGTCTGGAGCATCTGCCAACGCCATCGGCCGATAGCGACGCGGGTACCGTGAGGATGTTACGCAACAGTTGTGACGGCCCATCTCCAACCAGCGTCTGCGAGGTTATCAGGTGGGTATGACAGCAGCAACGAGCGGCAAGCACTTTGCCGCCGCAGTGAAACCTCGCCACAGATAAGTAAACTTACGCAGACGGCGGAACGCGTGAATGATATTGCAAAAACGTTCAAGGATTTGCACTCGATGCTATCAAAGTACTTAGGCTTGCTGCTCATTTACTTAAATGTCGACAGATTCAGTGAGATGAGCCAGCTTCACATGCAGCTAGATATGTATTTTGGTATTCGTGCTGTGTTCAAGATTCTTAAACTGATACGGGACGAGCGCTTTACAATATGACAACCGTGTGTGTGAGGATCACAAAAAGCGGAAGTACCAAATACACTTTGCTCTTGCTCTGTGGATTGTTCATCCTTTTATGTTTCCATTAGTCTGGACCTCGTTCTAACCATCACTCTGGGATTAGTCGTGATTCTATATTCAATTGGTTCATTCCCTAGGAAATCATATCAAATATGTATGGTTTCATCTAACACTCCGTTGTTGCTTCGGCATCGAATGATTTCCTAGAAATGTGCCTCGCTGGCAGCAACGGCCTGATTTTGACCTGCAGTGGGTCAGCGACTTTACAGGGTATATCCATCTTAAGGGAGACCTTACATTTGTATGGAATTTTGAACTTAAGTGGCCGTGCTGAAGATCGTTCGGTGCCGTTCGCAGCTCTGTCCTTCTTAGGGCCTAAACCCCTTTAGTTTCTGAGCTACACGCCCTCGAAGATACGCGGACTATTTCGGGGACACTATTGCAAGGTCGCCAAGGTATCGATGACGTCATAATGAACTATCCAAATCCTGTCATTCTATTGGCCATTCGGCGATCAAGGTCGATAACAATATAATTGTCGAGTCGTTCACACCTGGAATGATTGTTTGGTTATTCATACCTGGTGTTCGTGAACACGATTTCCAGATATAATGGCCGTCAATTGATTCCCAATCATTGTTGTGCAAGGCACTTAGATAACGTAATCAGGCAATGACGGACTGAGGATAGTTTCTACTCAAAAGAAAATTTGTGTTGTCTATAGCCGCCTTTTCCCTTCAAGTACATCAATAACTAAGAGCGAGCTTATTTCACCATATGCAATGCTTGCTTTAGTATCCTTGAATAAAGAATACTACATAAGTTTACACCTAAGCCCTTTAAGTTATTTGATTGCAAGTCTGATTTCCGTAAGTTCCGGAAAATGAAGAAACATGCCGAACTTCTTGTATTATGTAGCACAAAACATACTTCCTGGTTAACACACGCTCGGGTGGAGGTCAAATTGACCCCCCGAAGGTTCTTCCAGAATGGTTTTCTAGCGGCGCAACGTAGTCCCGCCAAGTTGCATAGCTGTAGACAATTAAATAGCGGATCGTTTGACATATACAAATTAGATGTACTTTGTAAGGTCGCTGACCTATGGCAGGTCAAAGTCAGGCCATGGCTTTAGCGAAGGCGATTTCTAGGGAATCGTCCAATCTGACACAATAACGGAGAGTCTGACGAAGCCATGCATCTCTGAGATGCTTTCTTAGGTAACAAAAATATTGAATGAGCAAATTACGTCGACCTAAGGCCAGGTATGAAGGTCAGACCGAGGTCAAAGCCAACCTGATTTATTACTCTACGACTTGCCGTATCGGGTAGTTTGTGGTGCTCATTTGAAAGTTATTGACGACAGGAATCGCATTATGCATCTTTCATTGACTTCTTAGAGGTCAGAACAGGTCACTGACCTTAGATAACCGGGGTCGACCTTTTGTTTTAGGAACATACTTCCTAGCGTAATCTTTGTCGCTTGTTCAAATGCAAAACTCAGAGCAATCTTATATGACTTTGGTCACCATGACCTTCAAAAGGTCAAACAAGGTCACTGGCCTCAATTGGGCTTGTGACCTCTTGCTTACAAACAGTTGCCTAGGTTCTGCGGACACTTTAGGAACCAGCCTGGAAATTGACCTTGTTTGACCTTATTTGACCTGAAGGTCGTAATCTAGGAGACTCAAACTTTACTATAAGTGACTTCACGTGCAGGTAAAGGCACCCTGTAAATTTGGTGTCTCTAGCTTTCTTAGTTCCCGAGATCTCAGGAGGGGATCAAATTGAACCCCCATCCGAGCGAATGGTATCTACCCGGCCGCCCGAGCGCGTATTAAGGCTTGCGCGGCTGGCTCACCATTGTTTGGGCGCCAATTGAGGTCCATTATATTTGGAAATCGCCCTCATGGACCAGAGCGCAACCTGGGCTGTAAAGTGGAGGCACTTAAATTGCGTCGCTATGGCGTTATGTATGCCTGAATGGCTTTAACACGCGCTCGGGTAGGGTGGGGGTCAAATTGACCCCCCGAATGTTTTCCAGAAGGTTTCCGAACGGCGCGGCGCAGCCACGCCAAATTTGGCATATATGTAGACAACGGCATAGTAAATCTTATGGCACAACAAATTTAGATGTAGCTTGTAAGGTCGCTGATCTATGGCAGGTCAAATTCAGGCCATGGTTTCAGCGAAGTCAATCTCTAGGGAATCGTTCAGTCTGATGCAACAACGGAGTGTTATACAAAGCCATACATCTCCAAGATGCTTTCTTAGGCAACACACATATTGAATGAGCAAATTACTTTGACCTAAGGTCAGGTATAAAGGTCAGATCAAGGTCAAAACCAGCCTGCTTTGTTACTCTACGGCTTGCTGTATGGGACAGTTTCTGGTGCTCATTTCGAATTTATTGATAGCAGGTCAGCATTTTTTTAGGAACATACTGCCTGGCGTTATCTTTGTCGTTCATTCAAATGCAAAACCCAGAACGGCCTTGTATGATTTTGGTCACCTTGACCTTCAAAAGGTCAAATAAGGTCACTGACTTAAGCTGAGCATGTGACTTTTTGCTTAGAAACAGCTATTTAGGTTTTGGGGGCACTTTGGAGACCAACCTGAAATTTGACTTTGTTTGACCTTATTTGGCCCAAAGGTCATGACCTAGGAACCTCAAACTTTGACCGAAGTGAGTTCACGTACAGGTCAATACACCCTGTAGATATGGTGTCTCTAGCTCTCTTAGTTACCGAGATCTCAGGGGAGGGGTTAAATTGACCCCTCACTCGGGCGAAGGGCATCTAGCTGGCCACCCGAGCACGTGTTAAAATGGTCTGCACGAAATTGTCCACGCACTCTCGCGGGGGTGTATGTAAAAACTCGAGGGTTCAAGGCCTTAAAGGGAGTGTTTCACATTTGTATGACATTTTGAACTGAAACAGCCATCTGGAAGATCATTCAGTGCAGTTTACAACTTCCCTAATTATGACCCAAATACGTCTTATTTCTGAGTAAAACGCCTGCGAAGATGTGCACACTATTTAGGTGAGATTACTTAAAGGTCACCCAGACATCCATGTCGCCATAACAACGGAATTCAAATCCTGCCATTCCATGAGCCATGGTGCGTCCAGGGCCAAGAAAAAAAGATTGTCGAGTCGCTCCTATCTGGCGTTCGTGAGCACAATTTCCAGATACAACGACCGTCAGTTGGCTCTCAGTCAATGCCGTGGAAGATAAGATGACGCAATCAGACACTGACGCATTGAGAAACATATTTACTAATCAAAGGATTTGTGTGCAATGAAGGAAATGACGTGACAATTGTGATAATGTGAAAGTGAGGTGATAATGTTTCAGTGATTACATGACACCAATCTGCTGTCATCTTAGGGGAAACAGAGATTCAACGACAAATAATGCTTCCTGGCGAGGTATTTTGGTTTCATTCCAGGTGCACTTAATACGCCTCTGAAGGATACATTCATTTATAGCTGCCCTTTAAGTCTTGGCGGGCTTCCTTGCTCAAACACAAACGTTGGCTCATAGAAGGCTCGCCTCAGCTCCGTTCATGCGTATTGTCCGTCTCTGACCAAATGACCGGCCACTGGTAATCAGCTCAACACGGACCATTAAATCAGCTTCTGTATTAAAAAGGACATAAAACGGGGGACATTCCCGTACGTACCATTTACGGAATGAAAGCTTTCGTTGCTGTCATGACCGTCTCTGTCTCTGTCATGTCACGTATCCGTTGAGTTCACACACACTCCGAACGCGTCATGAGATTAATGGGACGAAAAACATAATTTTTCAGATAAAACGCTGAGTTCGTGTGTGTATTTGCGAGGTGGACTAAGGCTCAGTGAAATACTCAGCTATGTGGGGATGAATATTTGTAAAAGTGCGTGGGATATTGCTGCCACAAAATTGCGAGTGGTATGACCCAACCGAGTTGGCATACAGGTAACTTCGAAACAGCGATGCGCATGTGTGCGTGTGTGGCGCCCCATTACTTACCCAAGAAATGACCACGATGAGAGACGAGGGAATATATGACTGCACAAGATGATAACCCAGGTTCCTGTCCAGCAGAAATTTTGCCTCCAAACAGCTGTAGTTGCCTGAAACATGTCAATGAATAAACCAAACACCCCACACACCGCGAGAAACATCAGCGTCCATCTCAGTCAGCTAGGGAGACAAGTGGATAATTCGTCAGGTCTAATGTCCTCCAGCCCAGCCACACCAGCCGAGGGTACAAGGCGCTTGAGCGACAGTTCAGCAATAAACATCGGTGCATTGGGCTGTATCATATTGCCCAGCCAATATGCTCTTAATTATCACATTATTTCAAATGCAAACATGTCTGAAAAGCGAAGAGCTTGAAAGCGCGACCGAGTTGCTGGTCCCGTGCGATAGACGCATGCTGCAAATGACGGTTGAGTTACTCTGGGTGTTCTTACGTTGATGCAGTATGGGTGCGTTCGTCTTAAATGTTTCAACGGTGGCGTTAGATCACGCCTTACATCATCAACAGTGAGCTACAAAGCTATCCTTCTCGGGGCATCAGGCTTGTAGGCCGGCTCGGCCGCCTAATAAGTACGGACCGAGTTGGTTTTCGTGACTGCAGTGGTCTGGCGTGACCCGCTTGACCTGGAACTGTGGCAGACGGAGGTTGTTGTACAGCTTGATCGGGTCGTTGTGAAACCAGGTCAGCTGCAGCTCACGCGTCGTCTTTGAAACTGAAACACGTGACGCGTGCATCGTAAGACGATATTGCCGCACTGAATGGCAGCGATTGATGGATTATAAGCTAATACCACTCGCATTGCTAAGCGCTACATTGCAGTGATGTACGTTTCCTTTTATTGCAATAAACTGCCGTCCATTTCAATGTCTGCCACCTTTTCCAGAGTAGAGGACAATACTGACGAACACTGTGCTTCTAACTTTAATGGTTGTTATTCTGTGGCTGCCGTCGACTGTCGGCCTAACGCGGCACCCAGTATGTTGCCTTCACTAGCGCTATTGATTTCCACGAAAAGGTAGCACGCGATCATTTCCAGGACGGAAAGGGAAATGCACTTCAAGTATTGAATCTGGGAAAATGTGTCTCGCCACATCTCCATCCCCCTCAGACACCGCTCATGATTGGAAGGGACGGAGTTAATTTGTTTAACATTCAAAATGAGCAAGCAATCCTGGGCCCACACGCTGTATTATTGAGTAGCACACCATCTATACATCGCGCGCTGCCATAACTGCGCCAGCTAAATCAGCTTCTTGGAACGGTAGAGTACTCACAGACGGCAGTCTCAATGCTGCAGATCTGGGTATCAAGTGGGTAATTCGCCAAATCCATCATGCATGAGAATCTCAGCAGCAGCCTGCCAACACAGATGATACATGGGCTGAAAAGCAGTCGGGGGAACTCCGAATCGTTCGGACCGCTTTTTCGGCAGGAGCGGGCTCAGGCAGCGTCGCTGGCGAGTTTCCCCGGCTTATCTTCTTCCACGACAGCCTTCTTCATCGAAACAAACCTCTTCTGACTATTTCGACTGGCTCCGGGACGGCCGGGAGAAATCGATGGCTCCATGCCGCGTCCAGACACCCGCTGCACCAGTCCGCAGGGAGCACTAACGTCCGCAGCAGCCCGCGGGAGCACCACCATTAGTGGCAGCCCGCGGAGAGCATCACCATTAGCGGCGGCTCGCGGGGAGCACTGCCATCAGCGGCAGGCCGCGGGGAGCATTACCATTAGCGGCAGCCCGCGGGGAGCACCACCATTAGCGACAGCCCACGGGGAGCACCACCATTAGCGGCAGCCCGCGGGGAGCACCACCATTAGCGGCAGCCCACGGGGAGCACCACCATTAGCGGCAGCCCGCGGGGAGCACCACCATTAGCGACAGCCCGCGGGGAGCATCACGGTTAGCGGCCTGCGGGTGGCACCGCTGCCAGCAGCGGCCCGCGGGCTGTCCGCAGCACACGGTGCCGCCGGAAAACGGCATCTCACCGACTCCATCGAAGAATACAGAGGACGGGTATGGACAGGTGGGCAGGATAATGGTGGCCTGTACAGAGTCCTGGCCGCCCGGAAGCGGCTGGCTCGGACAGCGCTGCAGATCTGCTCATAAAAGGCTGCCCTCGCCGGTTGGCTGGGAGCAACAGCTACGACTGGCACTCAAAGCCATTAGGAGGCTTTGCTAACGAAGTCCGAAAGTTTACGAGCTTAAGGCAACCTTTAACTTGATCCAAGCATTTGGCAGCTTAGCCGTGTTAATGGTCTTGGCATTACTTCTAGGGAGGCTTTTCACGGGCTATTAGGGCATATCAGGGAGAGCCCAGCAAGATCCATTAGTACGTGCACAAATAGACGAACAAACGAATGTCAGACGGTGGCATGAAAGTGTGATGAATAGAACTAATGGGGACTGAAACGCATTATTACAAATACTCAAAACCACTCCACAAGTTGTCGAAAAAAGCATCACAAGGCAATTTTGGCATGACCTTGTTATGCGCAAATGCCTGCTTTTACTGCCCTGCTTTTGGGTGCGTGACGCAGAGAGGCAAATTAAGTATGAATTAGTTTCTTTGACGACCCATTATCTAAGAGCAGAGTGAATACATCTAATGCTAAAAAACCATAAGCAATCGCTACCAACGTTCATGCGCGATCGTCAGGGAGAAGTAGATTGCTCGGACCGAGCAAACAAAGCAGTTCAACATATGTCATCTCATTCCTTACTAAAATTTCGAGTCACCTTTTTAAAAACTGCCCATCGAAAAGCGCTTCGGGTTCAGTACTAGTTGGCCAACAGTATTTTGTCTGTGCTCCGGCTCCAGCGGCCTCACCTGAGTATATACAGAACTTCGCCGCTGGGGTGTACTCGGATAAGCACATTGGGCACAGACACATACTGGAAGTCGCCTGACTTGGCATTGGGAAAGTACACTTCGGGCTTCCAGATCTTCTTGACCAGCTCTGGATCGGAGACGTCCAGCGGCCGGGTCAGCGAGTTGTTAACGAAGCGGGTCTCGAGCCAGCGCTGGCGCAGGTACAGGTCGGCCGTGTAGTCCTGCCGGAGAGAACTGCTGAGCACGGAGGTGCTGAGTACGAAGCTGCTGAGCACGGAGGTGCTGAGCACGGAGCTGCTGAGAACGGGGGTGCTGAGCACGGAGCTGCTGAGCACGGGCTGCTCAGAGATAGACAGCTGCTGCGTTCCTAGCTGCTGAGATGCACCGAGCTCTTCAGGATAACGATGACGAGCCTTAAAACCACAAAGCAAAAATTTACTGAATACACGGCATTGATATCTAAAGCGCAGTTGAGTGCACAGCACCGACGTGATGCCACACTGAGCAGCAAGCTCCGTAACGCCATCTAATGGCGCGGCACCGCCTATCCGTATCATATTTGATTCCACGACAAATCCACCGGGTTAATAAGGCATGCCATTCAAATTTGACGGAAACACGTCTAAGACAGGTAATCTTAAAGCCAAACACCGTTCTGTAAATTTTAGAGCCGTGCGGCGTACCGATACAAAATTGGGGTCAGATGAAAATGCGCGATAATGTCACGGACCCTGTTTTTCAGCAAAACAAGTTTGTGTAGCATGTGTTTTAGAAACGCCAGCTGACTTACGTGGTCTTGATATTAGAGAGAAAGGTCTTCAGCTCTTGGTTTTTCGGCGTTATGGGTTAAAAGTTGTTATGTCGAGGCAATGACTTCCAGTATACCGTGTGGGAACTCGTTAAATGACGTAGCGCAAAATCTGATTACGTTGGCGGCACAATATTTCATCAATATCAATCACAACAATAATCACAATATTTCGAGCCATGTTCATGCTCAATAGCGGCGAGGGTTCAAAAACGTTCAACACAACCTTACACATGAAAAATAGACAGGTAAATCTCGAAACTGCTACCAACATGTGCAAATACTGTCCCTAAAAGAGATCAGAATATCACTCAATCTATCAACACCCTGATGCATGCGCTGGACGTGCGAACTTCATCATGGGAACTGGTTTAGACAACGTTTGTAGGTTATGCGCGTTCCTAAAGTTTAGGTAATGTTCATGTAATGTTTTTATTTGACACTATATATAGCAGTGTGATGAACTTCGCAAACTTCCGGCTTAGCTATCTTTGGTGCTGTTTGGCAGCCTTTAATGTTGAACTACATACGGTGACATATTTTAGTGTCAGTGTCTGCACACATTGGGAGCATTTTCTGAATTCGCATGTCTGATCTGTCGAGTCTAATGTTTTATTAAATCTTTCTGAACCATTGTCACTCCTGAGGTTCAGCACTGCTCAAAATATTGGGCAACGTTATTTCAATAGTCACTTAGCACCAGAACGTGGTTTAACTAGTACCTCCTGGTATACTGAAGATCGCTAACTCAACATAAAAACTTGGAACCCATGAAGGCTTATGTGTTACACAGAATAATTGAAACATCGATGACAACATTTTAAAGAAAGGCACACCATGACGCAGACGCAATGTAAAACTATGTACACATACATACATATATGCATATATATATATATATATATATATATATATATATATATATATATATATATATACATGTATATATTCGTATGCATACCTAACCCTTACCTTTAGATTGCAGAGCGATACAAAGCTTTGGAAAAGTTTCAACACGGTGACATAAGGCTAAATTCAAGCTATCCCATGATTATGTGAGGGGCTGTTTACAAATTGCACACAAGGTACCAATCTACGCTATTTTAAACAGACCATCAAATGAAAGAAAAGAAGAGCACAACCACACTCACCATTTCGACGGGGTTAATAGACCCTAAGCTTCTTAAGTACATCTCAACACTGACCAGTGTTGGACTGTCTGAAACATGGGAAGACGTCGATTGTGTGTTGGTGGAATGCCTTTATTTTTTCTTTCTTGCGCAGGTATTTAAGCGTCCAATACAACTTTACAGACATAAGGAGGTTTTACACTCGGGTAGCTTCAATGCGCGCATAACATGGCAAACCCTCGTCCGCGTTTCTCGGAGAAATAGCTCCTGAGGTATATCCTAAAAATATGACGGAGCGGGTGGAGGAGGGAACCGGAGGAAGGAAGCATACCGTAGGGCTCGGAAGCCAAATTTTCTAGGCTGTTTGGCGCAGCGTAATGCCATCTAGGCTTGATAAGTTTTTTTGCACGGAGCATCAGAGGCACCACAATTTCGTGTCATGCCAAGCCGCCTGCGATACAATTTCGCGTTTAAGGGGGTGCCTAGCGCAGACGTCGAAAATCGTAGCTTTGCTATGCACGACAAAATTGCCACAAACCCTAAGCATAGTTTGTCTTACACCGTCCAGCCAGGTCGGAGAAATGCGATGCCAGTAGTAAACACTGGCACGCTGTATTTGCTTTTAGATGCAATAATTCCATACTTGCACTCTTGTGTTGGATTGGTGTGATGTAATAACATGCATTCCATCACATGGCTGGCCCACCAGTCAGGCTTATTCGTACGACAGGAAGCCACATCTGGCCAATGGGATGATGCAACAGCACCCAGCGGTACGCGAGCAAGGTGGTAAAGACAGCAGTGTTCGCGCGGAACTGTAGTGAAGTCCTTTCTGGCTTACCTAGCGGCCTATGAGGTGGTTTTAAGTGCTCACCAATAACTAGAATTAGTAATATATTCGTTGACCTTGAAAGGGCACAAACGAACATTTGTCTTGTGTTCTTATGTCTGGCCGCCCATCTGTGGTGACGGCACGTGAAGCTACAGCTCCCCTGACGCCCAAGGCCATTAGCGCTTTAACGGCTGGCGTGCCGCGTCTAACCCGGGCTGGGGAGCCGGGACAAATCACTGTGGCACCCGCCGGAGCCGACAGGCAGCCGGCGCCATCCGAGCTCATTTTTCGGCCGCTAACGGAGAGCAGTATTCTGGCGGCTCATTCGGCTGACTGGCGCCGGCCTGGACACACTAAGCCGGGCTTACTGGCAGTACCGGGGCCAGCACCGGTCCCAGTCATCTGGCGGGACCCGATCCCACCCGGATCGCGCGCCACACCGGCTCTGGATTGATGGGCAGGCGGCGCCGATACCGCAGGATCTGCCCTGATCCTGCCGGCTCTGGTTGACCCTGGCTGGGACGAAACAGCACCAGCTGTTGACCGGGAGCAGATCTGGGCAGCTGGTGCTGCCGACCGGTGCGCCAAGGCAACTAGGCAGGTCCGGGCGATTTGGTGGGGTCACGTGGCATGGGCGTGGCAACAACATGCTACATGACGACTATGGTTACAATAATGTTATTATGGTGCAATGTTGTGATAATTGCAATGCAATCAAAAATTTCAATCAAAACAAACAACATGTATTATGGCACATGTCTCAGCAAATATCAGGATTGGTGTCAGGTTGTACAGGTAGTACCTCTGACTGTGATCTCACCAGAGTCCTGAGTGGGGGTGGCGCGTCGGTCGTATGGCTTCCCTTTGAAAAGGCTGTCCAGCTTGAAAAACTCGCTCTCGAAGTAGGTGCCTCTGAAAGACACAAAAACAACACCTTTCAAATACTTACCTCAAATATTTTGAATGACAGCATTTCTCAAGCATACGATCGTGCAATGCCCGGTCAACGGCGAAATTTTGTGGCGAAGGCTTAACGTCCCGCTATGTTCTGTTGTCTGCTGGCTATCGCTCTGTTCGTGAAAACAAAATAAACAAATTAACGAATAAACAACGTTCGGCACTGATCTTCCTATTCTTTGATGTCCCCAGACCTCTAACACAGCCACTGCTACCGGCTGCACGCCATAGGAGAAATATCAAGGACAAATAGCGAGCGTCTGGAGCTATCGCCCTGTTCGCGAAAAAGAAATAAACAAATTAACATATAAACAACGTTCGGCACTGATCTTCCCACCCTTTGATGTCCCCAGACCTTTAACAGCCCCTACCACCGACTGCACGCCACAGGACAAATATCGAGTACAAATGGCGAGCGTCTGGGGCGACTCCAATCCAGCCCCTGTCATTTCTGTGTGTCGCCGTGGGGGGGGGGGGGCGCTCAAAGCTTATCTGGCAACTCCGCCGTGACGTCATCAAGCGCACCTGGACAAGCACCAGCATTGTAAACTCAAAGGAAATGATCTTTTCAGATGCAGCCTTTGAGCAGATTGAGAACGTACGGGCGGCTGGAACGCTTTCAGCATCAGGCAAAACGTGTGTTCTTTTGCACGCCAGGTGTGCCTTTGAAGCTCAGTGCGTTAGCTTTGAATTGCAAGTCATTTTTCACAGGTGTTGCCAAGCTAACTTAGGTGACGCCACTGGAACCAGCAGCTGGTTTATAGATAGCGGCAGTGTCATTCGTGAGCTTTTGACACTCATCTAGCTTTCCTAGATACTTACATCTTGCTTCTCAAAGCGTTCTGTGTATTGAAATGCAGGCTGTACCTGCCGAGTTTGAAATACCTTAACATCTTGCAAACAAAGGTTTTGTTAGTGTTTATTGCTTATTGTTTTTATTGTTGTTGTTGTGTTTGTTTATTTTTTTATTCTTTATTTTTTGTTTTTTTGTTGTTTATTTGTATTATTGTTTATTGTTTAGTATTATTTTGTGTATTATTTAGTATTGTTTGTTGCTTGTTGTTTAGTTGTTTAGTTATTGTTGTTGTTTATTAGTTTATTGTTTAGTCGCCAAGACATATTATCGTCTCAATTGCCTGCCATTCTGGCCTAAATGTCACATGACGTTCTGTAACTACATTGGTCACCTACATGTGTGAACATGCTAAGTTTGACGTTCAATTCAAAACTTGACATTTTTTCTTGGCATGACTGACGCTTGTAACTCCGTGAACTGGCTAAATATCGCATACTTGCGTCGACATGTCACATTTCGCACCCAAAACCAACATGAGGTGAGCAGGTTGATGGAAGAATCACTCCATCCCGGAATACAATTCTGCCCATGTATGATATACAGGCCATATGCAGAAAGATGACAACCCCAGAAAACCAATAGTTTCAGTGCATTTACTACGATGTACCGATGTAAAGGAGATCTAAGATAGAGCTACGATACAACACGACACCAGATAAAGATACATTTTCAGTAAGGAAGCCAAACAAAACTTGCTAGCAGTATAGGAACCGAAACTTAAATAGAAAGCTCTTAGTCCCATATGTAACCTTATTACCACATTCTCAATACTCACATACCATGGACATGTACCAAATACCCGGTTGCTACAAGCGTTAGTAACTTTGCAACCGCTCTTTGATGTACCAGTCAACGGTAAATCTAACAATGAGTTGCAATATCGATTTTGAATAAACTCTGCCATATCGAAGGAAACAAATCTCTATAACATAATTCAGATTCTGAAATGCAGGCCTCAAATTGTGTGACCGATATAAAAAATTATCAACAAAGCCATTAAGCCAATGTGGAAGTAAATAATTCGTATACTCTCTGGGCCAGTGTGGCCTCATTAACTAGACGACAGACGTCGGGGTAGATTGGTTCTCTATGAGATTAGGTTCCAGGTTCTCGCTTTATTGGTATATCAGTGTAACTTCAAGACTTAATGCGAGAATTTCATGGTATTTATTTTATTTAAAAGCAGATGGCTTCTGAGTCACAATAAAAAAATCCATATATGATAGAATTTGAATCATAACATGCTGCGAACCCAACTTTCCTGGTCTGCCCTAATACATACTCGTTTGAACCCGAATAAACTTCCTTTTAAAATGAAAAAGACTCTGGATTCCAAAACCCCGCAGCATGAAATTGTTCCATAATTCATTCCTTAATAATACAAAAAGCCTCTTTTCCTCAAGAAACATCACACTTGAAATCATCAAATTTAGACAGACGTCCTTTCTGTTATGTTAGCTGCTTATTAGATACTGTAGGGTGTAGGACGTCTTAGCGTCGAGCACCGTCCAGTGTCCGAAATACCCTATGCTTTTTGTAAGACCGGACATTACATTTTCAGTCATGTACACGAATGCAAAAAACACCGTCCTTAACGTAGCTGCAGTGACCTAATGCAGCTTTGCGACCTACACCTCGCGGTTTGCATTCCTTCCTCTCCACCCGCGACATGCGTCGAGGAACTACCCACCAGCATGGGTTTCGCGCTTCTTCCTGATCTACCATGTCCGGTTTCAGATGAGCTAGCGAAACCTGGGCTGATGCGCAGCATCATCTGCCATTTCCGGCTTTCCAACTCATTTTTTTGGAACAGATGGGCAATCTACTGGCGACGCAAGCATTGGCCCTGCCCCACGCCATGCAATAGCCAATCACGTGCCGGAAAGCCCGGCGGAGACATCTCCGAGGCAACTGCGAGAAAGCCGGCCCATAGCGCGGCCGCCGGGGAGCGGTCCCGGACAATGCTCCCGGGGACGTCTCCGACCCGGCTCCGGCGCGCAGAGACGCGAATGTAGGTCAGGTAGACGGGGATCTGGCGCACATAACACTGTGCGGTTAAAGCGCATGGAAACGAGGCCCAATTGGAAGGTTTTGCGATTGGAATGTGGGTGCGAACGATGGGGCATCGTTGGTGGATGCTGGTGAAAATCGTTTGAGATGGCTTGTTGAACAATACATTTATAACATATATATATATATATATATATATATATATATATATATATATAAATTATATATAATTTATAATTCAAATTAAATTAAGTCGATGTGTGCGTGTCTGGTACTTCTTGCTAAGTGTGAATCACGATCGAATAGCTTGTGCACGGCGAGATTCGCCTGTTCATTGTTTATGAGACCTGTACCGACTTAGTCAGGGCCGAATTTCCTCACAACTTGATAACATTTCTGATAAAATTTTTCATAAAAAAGTCACCACATTTTAATTGAAGTCGTCCACTTAACAAACTTCCTGTATCGCTCCCAAGACTTGTGTTTGTACGGTTTGCGGCCGCGGAGATGCCGTTCCCCTGACTGCTAGGCTGGAATCCTTGGTACGTTCTGGTGGAGGCACCTGCATGCCATATAGGTGAGCTTGGGGACGGGTTGCAGACGCGCACGCGCGAACAGGCCTAGATTGGTATACTGAATTATCACAGATAAAGACGCATTCATTTCGCCATAGAGGTCAAGTGTAAATGTTCACTGACGCCTGGGATTTGTTCTTGTCCTTTCGATTCCCGTCTCTTATTAAAAAAACACTTTAGTGCAGTTCGGTGTCTAATAAGCCAACTGATCCTGATAATACTGGTCTTCTTACCAAATCGTATTTAGCTGAATTAGTCGTCCTCTGTTGGTACACACTGTAGTAGGATGCTTATATTGGAGGAGTGACCGCAAAAAACCTAGGCTGGGCACAAGAATTGGTCCAAAACATATGAAGCAATATTTGCAATATTTGGCACAAGGTTTGTCCACACTTCCTGTGATTCGTTAGGTACAATGGATTTTTTTTTGGTCATGGGGCAGCGGATCCTCATGAGAGAAAGGCAATTGGTCAGTAAAACTAGCTGAGGATTTTGCCAAGGCGTGTTTTTCGAACACAGGTCACAAGCGAGGTCAAACGGTACGATGTTTGTTTGCCTGAAAATACGTTTTGTGTCAATTTTCGTTGTTTTCCGCCAGGCGAAACAAAAAGATACGACTTTTGTCATGTAACTTTTCCAGCATACGATGTCGTCTTGTACTGTGAGATGTTCCTATGCGTCACGTCATCAGAATGATTAGGCTCGGCTTGCCTAGAAATGAGGCCTACTTGCCCTTGCCTGACTGAGAGCCGGCTGCCAACCACAGCCGACCGGTGAATCACACACATTTCTTTCCCCCTCGTCCGGCTTAAAAATGGTTGATCACAGGATAAAAATAAGAACGCCGTTGAAAATCTTGTGTTGAATATAGCTCGAAACAAACCATACTGATTTTTTGTCTCTTTAATATTCGACCATTCTGCACCCTTAAAATGCGTAGCAAAATTCCTTCCAGAGCGTATTCCGCCAGCGCTGGTCAGATTTTTTGTTTTAAATGGAGTATAAAGCATTTTTGACGAAAATGAAAATACAGTCACATTCGAGCACATCGAGCATAGATCATAAGAATAAAACGCAACACAGTCAAGCACCATTTTGGGGAGCGCCAGCGACTCAGTTGGTTATATGGGCGCTCAGGGACCATGGCGCAACCTGGATTCGACCTCGTGCCCCCACATGGGAGTCCATGGCGTTAACCACTCGGGCATCACGCCACTCGCTTTGGCATAAACCATTACTTCAGCGCTCTGTCCCTGAGTTGTTGAGCTGTGCTTTCTCCCCATCATTAGCTACGCTGCTAACATGTACTTCATCTCTAGCGTTCCGAAAATTATTTTTAAACGCCCCGGTTCAACTTCCTTTTACTAAGTTCGTTTCAAGCAAGATTGCTCCGGAAACTTATGGTTCCTTGAAAATAGGGCGAGTAATTATGTAACCCGTGGCTCATGGATTTAAAAAAAAAATCCGAAAACAGTTTT